TCTTGGGCATACTAATCCTTATCCCTATCATACTTGTAGAAGCAAAATTTCTTGGATTTGGTTGTGAGGTTGATCTACTTGCTTCTTTCAACTTCTTGACATAGACTTTGAACTTCTTCTACAGGCATAGGATTAGTATTTCCATAGTTGGCATTGGTGATGCCTGAAATTTCCACCCTAAAAATGTTGGCAAGTTTGTGAAGATCTATAATAGTTGCAAATCTATTCTCACTTCTACCAAGAATAATATCCATGATTTTTCCTTCTATTTCAAATAACCTAACAAATCCACAAGTCAAATTAGAAGAGGGTAATCTATAACTTCTAATATCAAATAAAAATTTCTACAAAGAAAGATATATATTTTTTTTAAAAGAAAAAATTAGTGTTAGAAAATTAAATTATTTGTTTAAAAGTAGATAATTTGTAACCTTCAAAATACAACAATAGAAGTGGAATAATTCCCTCATTTCTAAAACATAATATAAGCTCACAATTATGCTCTAAAATTTAAATTTTTGTTATTTTCCTATTTTATGATAATATTATGCATTTTATGAATCCTAATTAAACATGTTAGATTAGGATTTATATAAGTGGAATTCAGTTTTATAGAATTTTTTAGGATTACAATCCTTGATCGTATAAATCATAGCCTAATTCATTGAATTAGGTTAATTGGACTAAAATGATAAGAGTTAGAAAATTAGAATAGCAACTTAGTTAATTTAATAATTTAGAGGTTATTAGTCATTACTATAAGGGTTGACTAAAAGCCTATGAGTGCATCTATAATCATTCACATGATTTAGGAGTTGGAATTATAATTCTCTAAAAGATTTAAAGAAGTTAGCAATGGTAATTTTGAATTTTCTTCCAAATTTGACAAATTCAAGCGGCATGGTGGCTCTTTTACTTAATGTGAGTCTTTTTAATGCAATGGTGGCACTGGATTTACCTCGTGGAGTGAAGAAAACAAGATCAGCAACTTCTCCTTCAAAATACAAGAAAAGCAATGAAATTCTCATTTTGAAGAATTTCACAAAAATTGCCAAGATCCTTGTAAGTAAAAACTTCCATGAAAATTATAATTGAACATGGATTGAGGCATGTGAGTAGTCGGTACTAGCTTAAAAAAGTGTTTTGAACACAATAGTGAAGTTAGATTTACAAAAAAAATACTTTCTTGACCACTTACAAGAGCCATCAGCCTTGGTAACGAGATTGGCTCTTGAATGAATGAAGGCCATAGATCTAGATTAGGGATCTTAAAAATCAAGGGTGGAAGTGTAGCCACCCTTCTATGAGCCTCCATTCAATTTTATGAGAGAGGTATGGTTTTCCAAGCCCTCTCTCTCTCCTCTTTTGAGTGAAGGGCGGAGCCATGCCAAAATTTGGCCGAAATCCTAATCTTAATTTTAATTACATTTTAATTCTCATTGTGAACCTTGTGATTGTGTTTGTATGGATTTTGAATTGTGATGGATGGTCATTAAGTTTTAAAATATATTTCATTGAGGTAGATATCTCCTTGGACTTTCAAATATCTCAAAGGTTTTAAGGGACTCGGATTTTCTTCAATCAGTCACTCAATTTCCATTGTTTCAATGTGAGATTCTGAATAATTGTAGCCTTTGTTGTTAGTTTTCTAAGAAGATAAGACTTGCTTAATTTGGAAGAAGAAGGAATTTTTGGTGAATTTCTGAGTTTGAGGGAGTCGACTGCCTTTGCAGTTTGAATCAATCAAGTTTGGAAAGGTATTTCTCAGTGCGTAGTGATTGAATTTATTTGAAATTTTGAGATCATCAAGATTTATAAGCTAAGCTCTAAAAGGCACAAGTTTTGTTGAATTTAAAAACAATCTGAATTTTTAGTGAATTTCTAAGTGAAGAGGGTTGGTCATCGTGGCAGTTTGGATCACTCAACTTCAAAGGAGGAATTCTCACGACTGGATCATTAGATTGCAACAAGGATTGTTGGATCAAAAGCGCCTTTAAGTCAGCCTTGCAACAAGCTAAGAATCATTCATATTGAAGCCGATTAAAAATTTTGGCAAATTTTGGAGTAGAAAGGGGTCACTGCCTTTAATCCTTACGTGTTGTCAAGGTACCTTCGCTTTTACCTCTCTCACTTTATTTTTACTCTCGTCTTCACAGTGACTTGTAAGCTCCACATTTCACTTTTTGGCTAATAAATTTTAACTTTAACTTTTAACCTTTAATATTCTCATTTTAAATTTTAACTTTAACTTTTAACTTTTAACTTTTAAATTTTAACTTTAACTTTTAACTTTTAACTTTTTAACTTTAACTTTGAATTTTAACTTTTCACTTATTTTTTTACTTAAACTTTTAATTTTAACTTTTAACTTAAATTTTTAATCTTAATTTTTAATTGTAAATTTTTTTAACTTAACTTTTAACTTAGCTTTTAATTCAAACTTAAGTTTTTATTCTTATGGTCAATTAATAGTAATAACTTAGTTAATTATTTTTATTGTGTTTGCATAGTAAATTTCATTTAATATGTTAATTCAGTGTTGATAATCATTGCTTAGAAGGCCTAAAAATAATTAAATTTTTAATATAAAGATTTAAATTAATCTAACAATTACACAATTGGGAGCTCTCTAATTCCACCTCTTAGACTTGTTGTGTGGCATAGGTTTCATCAAGTGGTGAAATTTGGCCTCACACATAACAAAAATAGTAAATTAGCATCCTTACCAAATTATCAAAGACATGAATCTTGAAAAAATAAAACTTCAATATGCTCTTTTGTCATTCAAAAGAATTAAAAAATCACTCAAAGATAATATAGTATTAAGTTAGAATGGCTATTGCTAAAGACAAAAGATTAGAAAGACTTGAAACAAAACTAAGGACTAGAAAAGCATTGATAAGAATAAAAAGGCTTCACTCTTGGTTCCATATATATTATTTAACTAAGAGCTATGTAGCAATGTTCTATAGAACCTCTAAAATATGTTGACTTTGCAAGACTCATATCTTAACTTGCAAGAAAAGTTTTTTATATATGTGCCATATTAGTAGTATGACACAAGCTACTAAAACATGTGACATATTATTAACTTGTTGACCAAGTTTCTAATCTACCAATTAACAACAAACATATTTTAAATGAACACAACATCTATGAAGCTTTTAGAAAGCTTCTCTAAAAGATATTATGGAATAAATCTATTTTTATCTACTTCTACTTAATCATATTGATAAATATTAGAATAAATATATGTATTTGTGACACAAAGATCATAAAGTTTAAAATTTTAATGATTTATTTATTATAATTAATTAACTGATTAAATTTTAAAATTTAATGTTTGTGGTTCTAAAAATATTGATATGCTTATATTGTTGTAGAGTAATACTACCTTTGATTGGTCATTCATTCAAATGCACAAAAGTCAAATTTGAATTTAAAATGAATTGATGCATTTTTAAAACAAAGTTTTATTTGAAACTTTCAATATACACAAATAGAAATGATACAATAGAATATCTACTATGTAAAAATATCAAAAACCTTAAAAAATACTCAATAGAGTAATGATGTTGTATTGATTTAAAAAATATTATTACCATGAATAATTTAAAGTATTTCTGATCAATTGTGTAAAGACCAACATAAGTTTCAAAATATATATTTTAAACAAAAAAACCGTATTAAAAGTATTTGTTTATTTTATTGTAAAAATAAATGAATTTAAAACCATGTTGATTTTAAGACTTGTTATAATATTAAATTTAATAATGAATTTATGAAAAAATATTTAATTTTAAATTATTTTCATTCCATAAAATTTTATTTGATGCAATCAAATAAAAAATCACTTTTATTTAAATTAATATTTAGTAATTCTTGATGCCATTAAAGATCATGAAAGAATCATCTTGCTCATGAGCTAGTGACCAAATAAACCACTCATATATTCTTATTGTAGCTACATTTATTTTGAATACATTAAAATTAGGCATTACTGATGAGGAAAAAACCCTCAGTGTTACAACATCAAGTTAGAATATAAACTTAAAATATTACATTATTTTAATTTCTTTGTTATGACAACCAAAATAAATAGACAAATAAATTTTTATTTTTTTATTGTAGTTCACACCAATATGGATAAATATGTGTATGTAAGTGTATATATATATATATATATATATACATATATATATATATAATTAGTTAGTTAGTAGAAACATGTGCTATTGGATACAAAAAAGTTGTATTTTAATTTTCAAAGTCAAAAATCAACAACTCCTAAAGAAATGTCAGCCCAAAGAAATAAAAGAAATAATAATATTAATAAAAATATTAAAGAACATGGAAATATTTACATTTCTTTAGTATTATTGGCAAAGGCAATTTCTATTTACTTCAATAGTTAAAATAACTAATTCAATAAATTTTTAAAATAAATTACATTTATTATGGTATTTTTTGTTGTATAATTTTCAAGATAAAAAAATCTTGATTGTATTAGAAGAAGTGCATTATGAAAAATCAACATACAACAAGAAATGACAACATATATTTTGACATTGTGAAAGAGCAACATATGTTTTTGGCTAATGGGAAGACTTCTTTGTCTTGGCCCAATAAGAAAGTTTATTTTTATTTATTTTTATTAAGCCTCAGTCATATAATTAAGCTTCCTTGTAATTTAGATACATGAATCTTTCCAAGCTTATTTTTAACACTATCAAATGAGAAATGGAAGGTTGTATTTATGGATGAATAAAATGGATGAACGTAAATGTGGATGGATAGACGAGTGGATGAATGCCGACTGGAAGCAACGAAGTCGATGCGCTTCAGATGAATGTGGGTCGCATGGTTTGAATTCAAAGAGGGTTCGGTCCTCCACACGCGGTTTTTTCGCGCCGCCTCTGATGCCGTCGCACCGATGTAGTGTTGTAGCATGAAGACTTTGTTAGACACAGTGTATGACTTCCGAGATCGTGTGTTGTATGTACAGCTAAGAGGAGGAACGTTCTGAGATTTCGTACAGGAAGAATACAACTCAGGACATCCATGTCCGTGTCTGCGCTAGGTGCCGAAAAAATGTACCTACTCAACTGAACTCTCTTTATTTCCCTTGGCTTTCCTTTCCATGCTCAGAATCGCGTGGTCTGCTGAAATCTGTACTTGTCTATCTACGAACCCTCATAATGGCTGCTTCCGTCAGTATAATTATACTAATTAATGTGAAAATAATGCTGTATGAACTAATTACAATGAACATGCTGTGAATTTTTTCCACTAAAATGTATTTACGGCGTCTTTATTTGGTACAAGGAGTTTCGAGGAATTTTTGTAACACAGCGCTGATGACTCAGTGTGCTGTTAGTCGAACTCCTGAGAAGCAGCGCTTGACTTCAGCAGGGTTCAAGCTGCTGAGGAGCTTAAGCAGAGAAGCAGCTTTGCGCTTTGCCCGTGGTGTTCCAGACAGGAGCAAGCTGTGAAGAATTGGGACAATGTCCTTAAGATGGAGAAAGATATCGTCGATGACCTTTTGGTCACCACTGAGGCACATAGACAACAGTATCGAGGCGAGGTTTTCGCGTCCTTTAGGCGAGCCATTTCGCAGTAGGGGAAGGAACTCAGAGATGGAAGCCGCGTTGTGTATTGCATCAATGGCATCTGGGGAGGTTGCGAGCAAAGTTAGGACTGCCGCACACGTTTCAGCTATAGAGGATGATTGGTCCGACAAGTGAACAACAAGCAACGGCACCGCACCTGCCTTAATAATCTTGGCTTTGTTGCCATGGTAGACAGCCAAGTTGAACAATGCGGTTACAGCATCTTTCTTCCCTCTTTGCATGCTTCCGTCCCGAAGTAGTGTGATCAAAGATGGAATTGCACCAAACGTGCTTCCGATCTCCACTTTAAACTCATCACTAACAGATATAGAAAACAATGTTGCAGCAGCGTTTTCTCGTGCTTCCATCGTATGACCTGATTTCAAAACCTCAATGATGCGTTCCAATGAACCAGCTGCAACGATCTTTTTACTGTTTTCTTTGACAAGGGAAAGATTCAGCAAAGTTGTGATGGCGTGTTCTTGAGTTTTAGCATCGGAGGATGATAGGAGGGGAAGAAGAAGGGGAACACCCCCAGCTTCTGCAATGGAGATCCTACCGTCCGCTCCACTTTTTGAAAGCAGGTGAAGCTCACGGGCAACATGCTTCTGCACATACACGTTACCAGTAGCTAGTTTCTCGATCAAGAATGTTGCAGTGAGCCTCATAGCCCCAAGGCCAACTCGGGTACTGTGCACGTGTTGAATACCAGCCACTTTTTTACCAGCTTTAAGAGTTCCGTTTTCGTATGGAACGTCGTGGTCTTCACACCACTGTGAAATCAAGCTCTTCAATGCATGATTTGAAATTAGTTTGTTCCGATCAAGCTTCTGACTCGTCTTTGGGCATGTGGAGTGGCCTTCTTGAATCCACCTAGTAATTGATGTCCTGTCATACGTCTGCCCAGTTGTAACAATCACGGGGTCTCGCATGAGGTCAAGGGTAATCGGACAAAGGAACTCAACTGGAGGGCCGACCATCGCAGCGTCTTCACCTGGCCTGCTGGTGGAAACCTCATCCAACCCTTCTCTTCGACTGTTTCTTGAGCTTACTTGAGAAGATTCGTCATCAACTTCGTCAAGGTCTGCCGAGTGAAGCACATACTTCCCGTATCGCACGAAGCTGATTAACCCGGCAATCCCATGCTGTGTCTTTTCATCGTCCTTTCTGTTTTCTTGCATGCTAATATCTTCTAAGCGATGGATCTCCGTCTCACAGTCTGTAGCGTTCAGCAACTGTAGCTTGTTGAAGAGAGATCCCAGTTGAGATAGTCGAGGGATCTCGTTCCTCTCCACCATCTGAAGCATATTGATGGCATTTTCACGCAGTTGAACTTCGACGGGATTCAGCGCGAGGCGTGCTCGGAGCACTTGTGCACGAACTAGCAGGGTTTGTTCCATTGCTTCCTCTGACAGATCCAGAAGCTCCAAAGGCATGGAACTCAGTACACTTCCAAAAGTCTGCGTGAGCTCATAAAAGTATTGATTGTATTCCTCTTGCTCCATAAGCAACCAAAACACGCTCATCTCTCTGCACTCCTCGAGCAGTATGTAGATCCTCTGCACCAATCGGTGTAACTCTTGGAAACCTACCACAGCAGATGGGGGAATAGGGCTGCGAGATTCTCTAATCTCCTCGAAAAGAGCCGCCAACAGCTCGACTCTCCGAACAATGTTCGAGACGTTCCGGCTTTGACATGCCTTCGGTTTCCCACATGACGACACAACCTTCGTCAGGCTGATCAGTGCTTTCAATAAACTCTTCGCGGAGGGAGTCGCTGGGGGAGGCAATGGTAGCATCAGCCGCTTCTTCCTCACGATCTGCACAGGCGCAAGGTGTGCCATACCCAACACCGTCTTCTCTACCGCAAAACTCAACACAACTTCCTATCGATATACTTTGTTTTTCCTTTCCTTCACCCTATTGTCTTTTCACAAAATGCGTTCTGCTGCTTCTCACCACTTCCAGGGGTATATCAACTGTCCAACTCTTTCCGCACGGTCTTAACCTTCTCAATCCTGTCCACAAGTCCTTAGTTGTTATGAGGAAGAGTTAGGGACTTCCAAGCATTTCAAGGCGAGAGTGACTTCGGTCTGACTTGCACCGTCAACGCGCTGCACTTACAACCGAGCCGCCTTTCGTTGGCAATAACGGATGCCGTGTTTCGGTGGACTCAAATTTTGCGTGGTCTTCGGCGTGGCTCCAATTCGGACTTGCTACTGTGGAATAATTGACCTCTAAGTATGTACAGACGTATAGTGGTCGGTATACGTGGATATTGAATTCGTAAATTCTCAAGAAAGAATCTATCATTGATATTTTAAACATGAAGTCATTTTGAGACTGTAAGGTTGTTTGAAATTTGTTACATTTTTATTTTGAAAACTAAGACCACTTGGTTGAATGAGGCACAGTGAGGCCCCTAATTTTTAGGCAACTCTTATATATATATATATATATATATATATATAGAGAGAGAGAGAGAGAGAGAGAGAGAGAGAGGATATTGTTAATGTCAGCACAATTTTTGCCACTGCCATTGTCACCTCCTCAACATATTTCTTTGATTTATTTTATTCCAATAAAAAATTAGATCCCTCCTGCCAATGTGTTCTAACTTGGTCACACCTGATGCAAGCAATGTAAAATTGTGCTCCTTATGCACAACAAGCTATTTGCTAGTTTATTTATTAATTATGTTTTTTTTCATCATCGATAGAAAAGAAACATACTTCGTTCTGTTGAATGATATTATTAGAAAAAGTTATTTGAGAATGGTTCCAATCAATGGTTGTGCATAAATAATGTGAAAAGGTCAAAGTTAGTAATACTCTGTTCATGATGCATATCACATTGTGTGGATAATCTTCTATCGCAGGTATGATGTGTGAAATATTTATATATGTGTATATATATATATATATAAAAATATTCTAAACATCAGTGAGATCATTGTGCTCTCTCATTCGAAATCAGCAGCTCTACCTCCTGTAAGATTTTAGTTTTATCATGTAGACTCATTGCAAGCTTTTCGGCTCTTGAGACCATGAAACTTAACCGTGAAATGGTCACCAATATTACAGCTGAATGCGCCAGCAAAGTGAACAAACTGTTCATATCAGCAAAGCTTTACACACTGGGGGTCTTGATCTATTTCGTATCGTTGGTGTGGGTAGAGCCTATGCACAAAATTGCTGTGGTGGGGCTCTCTCAATACTAGAGTTTTGCAGTGATGAAACTAATGAATCAGATAACACAACATGTTCCTACAATAAAACTGTCAGTTTGGAATCGAAAGGGGCTCAAAGATCAGTCTCAGGCATGACACACTTGTGGCGCCCACAGTAATCGCAGGCGTCAGGAGTTTTCGGTGGAGTGCGATTTTCAGCGTGGAGCTTCATGGTAATCAAACTCAAAAACTTCAATCAGTGATTTGCTAGCCTGTGCTATCTGTTCTCGCCTGCACCGAATGTACAAAACAGCTTAACGGCTTGACTTGGATGCATTTGTGGGTGACACAGTGAAATCCATTTAGTAGAAGATAAATTAATCACGACGTGGTCGAGAGTTGAGAAATGTAACGTGATGATAAGAGGTGGCGACAGCCGAATTACATTTCCATGTGTGGGTTTAGCTAGAATCCCCCGATATTTTTAGGGCAATGCACGCATCGTAGGCGGTAGCATTGCCCAACCCCGCCTGGTCCAGCACCACAGCATTCAGAAGCCCACGACCACGAACTTCGTTAATCAACTTGGGGTATCCTTTTTGTACATCTCGTGATTGCTCTCTGAACTCCTCTCCCATCTTATCAGCCTTGTTCACAATAAATAAAACAAGTACATGAGATCCTTCTCAGTCTGCACATAGAGTTCCTACCTACACCAGAACACTACAGGGTGCTGCGATTAAGGAATCTATTCCGTCATTTCCATCTGGTCCGATGAAGATGGAAAGAAGAAGAGGAACATCTGCATAAAAGTCAGATTGTAACACCAGTACCAAAACAAGAAATAACCAGTTCATAAGCAAGGGCCAGCTGTTTCGGTACGAGAATAATGTAGCGAAAACCTTTAGGGGTTAGATCGAAGAATATACCTTTCACAGTGGTTTTGTTCGATGACTACTTCCGGGGAATCTATTCCCACAGCACTGGCCAATGGATTTCCTCCGAAAGTACTGGAGTGCATATTCACAGAGAATGAACTCATAAACTTCACTCAACCATCATCTGATATACAACTTATGTCATATACATTTACATAACACCCAGTAAATAAGGAGGAAGATCCTAAAGCTGTACCATGCACGGCGCTCACAACATTGTACATGGTACAACTTCAAAATTGACACTTCCACAAGATTATCGCCTACCTGCCATTTTCGCCCGGTCTGATGCACAACATGATATATCCTCATCCGCAAGCACCGCACTGACAGGCAACACTTCTGCTCCCAATGCCTTTCCCAGAATCTGCAAATGTAAAACTGGTGAGTTCTTATGTTATTGGAATGCAAACACCCAATCTGTTCTGAAAGAGAAAGGATGACAAATTACAGTCAAAAAGCTCCAGTGGACAAAAACAAGACGTTGAGATTGTTTCCAGCGATTGCAGAATGTATGAATGCACTTACCATTACATCAGGTTTGACATCCTCCCAGTCGCATGTCAAGAGGCGCCCTGTGCGCGCAATCCCTGTATGAATCTCATCGGCTATGATCAGAACTTTATGCTTCGTGCATAATTCTCTGACCTTCAAATATCCATCCGGCGGCAGGACAAACTGCGCGCATATTAACTGTCATGAGGTATAGCTCTAAAAGCATCTATTTCTGTGCTTGTTACTGTAAAGACTATGGAAGCAACAAAAGTATACCCTACAAACCCTGTTTCAGACGAATGTAATGAGTGCCTAATTCTGGCTGGTAGGAAACTAATCAATTTTCCTTAAACCGGGTTGTATTTTAACATATAAACAATCAAGATTTGACACATACCCCAGCTACTCCTTGGATGGGCTCAAACAAGAATGCAGCTATTCTGTCTCCTTTCTCTGCATTTTCATCAATAGAGCATGTTAAGACGCTGCTTACTGAGGGTCTTAGTTAGTGCAAACTGAGACAAAAATTGAACCTCTAGCTACACTGGTTCTCTATGTAAAGTCAAAAGTACTGGTACCAAGCAAAGAATATATGACAAGTTGTGAGACTCATAGCCACTCTGTCCTTGAAGCAGTGTTTCAAGGGCACTAGCGTCACCAAAGTCTACTTTTTTCCTGACCACCTAGTTGTTGAATCACATTCTATCAATCCTCAGTACTTGATAACAAAAATTACAAACCAGTCTCCTGCGCCTACGAGCCACAGTAGATCACAGTAAAAACACACCGAATAACAAGAGCAAACAATTACCCAAGAATCAGCAGTGACACCACTACAGGTGCTAAGAAAAGTGAACTATGGATTTCATTGCACGCGTTGTTCTTATACAGAATAAGTTTCTCTAGTCCAATGGATATCTATTTGTTGTATCGACGGGTGTCCAGAACCATGTCTCGATAATACCTTATCTATGATTATAACATCTACAATGTTGATGTTCATATTCTAATAGTGTCTTACCGACGGAGCATCTATCCATTATATTCTACACCCTCCCTCACTCCGGAGGCTCCACATTGCGTGCTCGCTGTAGAAAGCTGTGTAAGGGTTTTAGTTTGAAGATCGCTTTACTGTTTGTAGGAATCAACGAGAAAGTAAAAAACTGATGGCGCAAGAGCAGGGAAACCATTGCAATTTACTGGTGGGTCTCACTATTTACTCGGTGTTGTATAAATTCTCCTTGGCAATTGTTTTGAAATAGAAGTTTGGTGTGGTTTCTCAAAGTCAATCCTTCGGGCTAGTCATCTGGTCTTTGCTTGTGTTTGGGACAAATCTCTGCAAATGGATGCTGAGGTGATTGGGGAGCTGTTTGTTTCCTGTTCCTGTGAGGGCTTCTAGTCGGAGCAATATTGGAGATGTTTCTCTGGCCGAACTTTTCAAGTTCCTGCTCAACTTCATGGAGTGTGCAATTCTTATGAGGATTTGGAAGAAATTGTAGTGCCTCGTAGTCAAAAATATTATGCTATTAAGTGCAGATTCCATTCCGAAATTTACAGGACTTGGGCAGAATGTGAGGTTGAAGTTAAAGGATTCAAAAATTCTAGGTATAAAGCCGTTAAAAATAGGTTTGAGGCAAAAAAAATATGTACTAGATTACTAGACTATCCTTCCCGTTTATTATTATTATTATTATTATTATTTTTTATTATTTTTTTTATTTATAAACTTTATGCCTCTAATGCTATATAATAATACTGAGTGTATTAACCACATTTAGTCTTTTCCTAAATTTTTCAAGTAGGAATCATCATAGTGGCTATAAATATATTTGTTACTTGTTCCAAGGTTAGAATATATTAAAGATTGATTTCTCCCAATTTAATTTTTTTCTAGTAAAATAATAATGTATTGCTATATGTCTTGTTCTAGGATTAACTCTTGGATTTCTTGTAATATTGATACTTCTTCTATTGTCACAATGAATAATTATTGGTTGTTTGGTTTCTATGTGTAGATTCTTGAGAAGAATAGTTAGTCATGTGGCTTCTTTAAAGGCATTTGGCAACATGCAGTATTCAACTTCAGATGATGATAAGACCACTATTGGTTGTTTTTTGGATGACCATGAAATAAATATATCTCTTATGTTAAAAACAAAACTAGTTATTGATTTTTCTTATTCCAAATATCCTATCTAATTAGAATCTACATATCCAATGAGAGGATTTTGATTAATTTTTTAATATGAATTTTTGTAATCTTAAGTGTTTTTGATGTATCTTAAGATTCTTTTTGTAGCTAGGACATGTGATTTTTAAGGTCTTGCCATGAAACGACTCACAACTCCTTTGAGTTTTATTTTCTTATCTATACATGTTGTCACTAGTGTACAATTTTCTATTCAAAAAGTTACTAAGATATTGTGTACATAGGCCTTTTATATCATGAATATTTCTTCTTTAATATTTATGCATTCTGTTTTAAAATTAAGAGTGACTTCCTCCATTGATAATTTGGACATCTCAAAGTGATCATGTAATTTCTTATTGAATTTATTTATATTTTTTATACAATTTCCAATCATCAAAAGATTGTCAACATATAGTGCAATTAGAATAATCTTATCTTTTCATAATATTGAATATAAGTAATGATTACCTATGTCTTATTGAAAGTCTATTTCTTTTAAATAAGAGTTTATTTTTTTATACCATTCTCGTGACACTTATTTTAAATCGTACAATGCCTTTTGTAACTTGTAAACTATTTATTCTTTACCAACTATTTCAAAACCTTATGGTTGAGTAATACAAACCTCTTCTTTTAAATCTCTATGAAGAAATAGCAGATTTTCTATGGAGAAGATTTGTAAGATATCAAGTTTCATT